TAATCTTTAAAAAAATTAATCGATTTTTGAGGGAAATGCCACACTTCGAAAATTTTGTCAATGGTGTAACCTTTTTCCAAAGCTTTATTAAGTTCTAAGGTGGTACACGTGCCCGTAAACCATCTTTCCGAATCTGTGTGGGTACATTGCTTTACGGAATTTTCCATACATGATTTGTATAAGGCAAACGTTAACTAAGTCGTATTAACTGGAAGAACAGGATGATATAATTGACGAGGTACTAAAACTTTACATTTCACCAAACCAAACCATGAATGGTTGTATTCGGTCGGGTTAAAAATATTTTCAGGGTTCCCTACAGGGAAATAATCATAAAACTTTATACTAGGGTAAAAGCTCACCACATCAATATAACATTTTTTACCAGTTACTTTTAGTTTTGAGGCATTAGTTCTACCACAAAAAAACTTTTTCGTGCTTTTAAGGGCTCCATATTTTTTACAGGCTCAGTCTTTTTGTATTCTAGTGATTTTAACCAATCACATTCCCAAATTTAGACCAGCCTGTATCCTCCTTTTTTTAATTGTTGGCTTCTCCGAGTAGTCTTTTCGTAAAGATCCTCCATTGTGTCAAAATTTACATTATTCACTGTTGAAGGGGATTTAGGACAGCCGTGCCAGAAACAACCGTGGTACTGGTATATAGTATTTGTTTCCTTATTCAACCACCTAATGGATGCCTGGCTGTACATATCTTTTTTTTTCGGTTTCAAAAACAGCTATTGTGTTTTTAGAAGATATTTACTTCTGTATATAGCCATACATATTGAAGCAATATCTGAAAGGGTCTATATTAGCTATTTCTAAAAATTCTTTTTGAAAAATCAGACAGCCTCTTCTTAAATCTCCGGCGGGCGCGCTTTTAAAAATCACAAGAGCGGGCGCGTAGCGGCACTACATGCCGCAAAAAGAAAACGCACGAATTAAATTCAAAAAAGTAAAATTTATTTTCTAATAAAGTAAAAAAATCTTCTAAGCAAAATTAACGAGTCTCTCTAACCGTTAGACTAATTTCAAAAAATAACAAAAATAAAACGTAAGTATAACAAAATAAATTTTATTTCTAAACAAAATCAGATAATATAATATTTCTTTCTAATCTTCCTCCATTTCATCCACTTGAGTCGGCACACAATTTTGGCAAGTAACAGTCTTAGTGCTATGACCTTTACAAATTTTTGACATAAGCTACATGTTACTGTGGTTCTATTATTCTTTTTAGAGCTGCAAACATAGCACCGTCCATTATGATTTCTAGTAGCTGCTGTCTCAACCTCAGTCACGGAACGATATTTTGAAAGAAATGCTGATATATCCTTGGGAAGCGTTGGTATTTTAGCTCGATCTTTTAGATGGTCCTCAAACAGCTCAAAAGCTAATTCATTTAGAAAAATACATCTTCTAGGAGGATCAGCTAAAGGCTTAGTATTATTGTAAATAATTTCAGAATTGATTCCGGCAATATCAAGCATTCAAAAAAAAATTGCAAGAGGCCATCTTCTAGTAATTCTTGGTGTGGTGTACGATGCACATTTCTGGTCAACAATGTCAACCCCGCATTTTGTTCTATTGTAATCCAAAATTAATTGTGGTTTGTTTGTGGTCTCATCAATCTCATCTTTATCGTGCATAGTTGACAATAAAATTACAGCCTTATTTTTTTTGCTCACATATGAAACTAGAGTCATATTATCTTGAAACCCAAATAGAGTGGATCCTACTTGGCGTGAAGCATTTGGAAGAAAATCGTTTGGTGAGTAAAATCAAACCAAACTACTCTTCGTAGATTCTCAAAAGTATAATAAATTTTAACTAAATGGTTAAAGACGTTGAAAATCATAGGAGCAGACTCTGATTTCCAACGCTTTTAACCATTCGGCTATCTCTACTTTTGCTAATGAGTACAAAGACGTAATATTTTACGTTTTTTTGACGTCATTTGTCAATGTTATCTACCATCACAGAGAGAGGCGTTCTGAAACAGCGTTTTTTATGTAAAAACAACAAGTCATTAATGAGCGTGCGCCTGAATTGTACGTTTACGTTTTATATTTAAAAACAGCATATCACTCAAACAATGATTTTTGACTAGGAGAAGGCGGGCAGATTTGACATGAAAAAATATCTACCCTCCAGAAATGACAATTTTTGTTTTTTTTTTTTCTTAAAAATTTTGGAATAGACAGTTAAAAGGATTAAGAATTTAAGAAGGTGGATAACATGTCTTAATTTCTTAATTAAACAAGATTATACTGAATTAGGTGATAGGGTGTATTTTGACAAATATGCCCCACAGTGGAGTAGATTTGACTTAGTAAAATATTGAGTGGGGCAGCTTTGACACATTATACAATTTGAAAGGAAAAATTATTTTTATTTAAAAAAAATTGGTTTAACACAAATATTTGCTTATTTTATTAAAAAGTATTTCAAATGGTAACATAAACACAATTATTTTAAATTATAACTATCCAAATTGACATCAAACTCGTAGTATTTGTTTACAAGGATTGGTTTGGGTAAAACAGCAATACAATCCATTCGCCGATATCGGGCACTTCAGGATAAAAGAATTTATTTGAATTGATTTTTGTTCTTAAAAAATTAATTTGATATTCGTCAGTATCCACAACTTCCTAAACTCTGCCAACATAATAAACAATAGATGATTTGGTTGGAAATTCAACTAGTACAAAATCTTCTTTTTGTTCGAGTTGATCGTCCGTTAATTCTCCAAGAGAATTTGCTCCCATGCTATTGTCAGAATGAAATAACAAAAGGGTGTCGACATCGCTCTCTTCATCAGACTCTTTAATTTTTTTAATGCTTTTTTTTTGTGGCAGTGGCTGATTTTCCTTTTCTGTTCGGCATTCTAATACATCTTGTTGTCTTTTACCACAGGCTTTCTGAAAAACATCCCTTTTAGCATTACCCCTTTTAACATTTTTTAATTCTTTTTCTTTTCTTTTCATAGCTCTTTCTACTATTTTTGCATTTCTGGCGAATCAGTATGAACTATAGATTTTCCCTTCCTGTTTTAATATTAGAGCACTTTTTTAAAACGGGCAACGCTCTTACCATCTCTGGTGTTAGGACTATTTTAGCCTCGGTTCTGGTTATTTGTTTCTTCGTTTTTAATGCTGTTTCTCCTATTTCATGTCCTGTTGTAAACTTTGTTGGTTTCACAATTGTTGGATCTATATCTGTGTCAATCTCCACGCTAATCAAACTCTTTCTAGCACTTTGTTCTGGAGTCTTACTAGGACCAGCGGTATAAATATATGAAAGATTTGATTGTGTTTCATGCTCAGATTGAATTAAATGAGATTCATTGAATATGGTTGAATCAAATGCAACAATGCCTGAGGCAGAAAAACCAGAAGTTATATTTTTTTGTGTAAAGGAATCTAAAAATGAACCAGAAGTTATTTCTCCAATATCATAAATAGATACTTTTTGACCATGATGATTGATGATAAAATTGTTAAGAGATTTTTTAAAAAAAGAATTGAAAGATGAAAAAACTCCAACATCAAGCGGTTGTAGTTTGTGGGAGGTATGCGGAGGAAAACTTAGCAAAATAATACCGTTGTCATGACAAAATTGAAGAATATTAACTTAAATATGAGTTTCGCTATTATCCATTAAAAGGAGATATTTGCCTTCTCCAGCTTTTGGTTGTAGATGTTTTTTAATATGTTTTAACACATCCATAAATAATTCTGCAGTGATTTATTCGCTTTTGTTGCATAATTCTAAGCTACCTGTTGGAGTTCCTCTCATAAAAGTGTTTTTGTAGCGAATCCTTGGAAAAATATAAACAGGCGGGATATATTTACCTTGTGCCGTTATTGTACAAATCATTGTAACAAGGGAACCCCTTTCGGCTGAAACTGCTTGGCTCACTTTTTTTGTTCTAAAGGAGCTATCTCTTTGGGCTGATCCATAACGGTGGTCACGCCAGTCTCGTTAACGTTGATAATTCGTGACGATTCGAATTTATATTTATGCAATACATACATACAAGTTTTTAAAGAATGCATTAACACTCTCACTATTAAATCCAATAAATCGAGCACGGCTAGTGTTTTCTGCTTTTCGGAGCGTTAATTTATCTTTATGTCTTCTCATAAAATAAAGCATCCACTCTTTACCAGCTGACTTGTTAGTTTGCCATGATGAAGGCATCTTCTTTTCCTTGGCTTGAGCAAATTGATAAGCAAAAGCTTTCATTTGGTTATAATTTAATCCGTAGTTCAAGGAACAGCATATTTTCAGGTAATCTACAAGCAGCAATTCTTCTTCATTTGTAAATACCTGCCGACTTGCATATTTAAAGGAATATGTAGGTTCTTCTTCTCCTCCAGAAACTTCCCCTTCAAGTTTTTTCTTTCGGTAAATTAACGTAGTTCAGTTAAAACCGTAGCTTAATGTTTGTTTTTCTTATAGTTTCGAACTATTATGTATACCTAAAACAAAAAATCAGCATTAAAAACATTACTAAAATGCGATGGGGCAGTTTTGACACGTGTTGAAACTGCCCCTTCGTCAAATGGCAAATCTGCCTCATCACCTCATTTTAGAAATTTTCACTTATAATCTAAACCCAAACTTCACTTCCATTTGACAAAAAAATGAAGGTAAATAGTCTAGTTATATAATAATGACAAATGTGCAACCTAAACATTAATTTATTTTACCTTAACTTATTTTATAAATTGCTCTCTCTAAAACTTTTATATACGATATTTTTAGTTTTAATGTAACTACCACAATACGCGCTTCACGAACCAGAGATTTCAACTGAACATTGATAGGAGCCAACGCTGATATATATGTAAGACAGACTGTCAGCGATCAAAGTTTAAGCGGTAAATTTGAAATTGTAAAATGTGCCCCGCCTTCCCCTATCTGTTTTTTAATTCTCTCATACAACTGACAGTTCATCTTTTAATAGTGTTGGTAGTATGAAATAACAGGTTATACCAATTCTCTCATACAACTGATTGACAATTCATCTTTTAATAGTGCTGGTAGTATGAAATAACAGGTTATACCAACTTTGCTATACCAAATCTCTGAATCTATTAGTTGTCGAATCATTTTATATTTCCCAGTTATTCCGCGAGCATCTCTAATAGTCCAATAAATGTAATTTGCTGCTAGTGATTGTAACGTAGGGACTTTGAAACCTATTTTATCTACACAATCTACCTGTAATTCTGGAGTAACAGATCTATTGTTCTCCATATCCATAATTTTCTGCTCTATGCTCCACTTTATGTGCATATAACCGAATACTGGAAATCTTTTAAATACTTTTCATAATCATCATATGTAATTTTATTTTTATATTATATTTTACTCCTTTAGACTTTTTTGTTACGCCTAAATTTTTTAAATCACAACTAATTTTGCCTTTATTAACTTGCTTATGTTCTAGGCGCAGCTTTTCCTCTACTTTATCTTCATTACTTATTAGCAACTTGTATGTGTACATTTTTGATCTTAGCCCCACAAAATGGGTAATAATTACCCATTTTGTCTCGTTTTTCATTAAACCAATTACTTTCTAATTTACACACGGTATATGTTATATGGGTTGTTTACAGCATGATCTGAAGTATCAAATTTAGATAAATCTGCTCTAATAATATCATTATATGCATCTTCGCATTGCATCTCATACACAAAACTATCGGTATCCATGTACATTAATTTACTTTGACCGGTGCCCATTTTTGGTAACATGTGGCCATAATGAAAATCATACATGCATACCTTAGAAATGTCTAAAATTGCCATGCCAATATATAAAGGCTTATTAGATACAATTGCTTTTATTTAGTTCAATAGCCACGAGATTTTCATCTAAAATTGTTCGACTATGGAGCCGAACACTTGCAATCAAGTTTTTGGCCCCATAGCGTTTACCACTGCCTCACCAACTTTACCGTTCTGTGACGTCTAATTTTCTCCATCATCTTACCAAATCCAGCATTATTCATCAGTTTAAGTTTTAAGTCACTTCTAGCTGCCGTCCTCAATCGAGTATTTAAGTCGATGTAGGGTTTCAGCCACGCTGATTGTTTAAACTGCAGCACTTTATGTATTTTGACTAATTTTAATCCGTTATTTAAAGCTTGTTTTAAATTTCTATAATGCATAATTTATTTCTCTTTACGATAAAGACTCAGTAATTTGGGTAATTTTGAGCCAGGCGAAATGCGGTGTTCGGCAGCAAAAGGAAAATCTTAATGTATATCATGCAATTCACGTGGATATTCTAAACCAACTTGAAAAATATAGCCCTCAGATGCATTATCTGGTATGGACATAATATCAATGTACCCTTTAGTACAGTCAGATCGGGCAACACCAAATTTATTGGCATTTGCCCACTTGAAACTTTCGTAGGGCATGGGCTCACTCATTGACCAGCTTTGATGACTTCGTTGGATCATATTCGGCCATATACTTATTATTAGCTACCCAAAATCGGTTGCTACATACAGATATTCCACCTAGAATATCCTTTTCTATAAATATTAAAATGTCGATGTCTTTCAGCAATTCTAGTTTGCATGATGTAAACTTAAGCATAAATGACCAAGTATATCCAGGCATTGTGCTGGATCCAATTGTACGTACCTCTACATTTCTTTATGAATTCTTCGAAAACATCAGCAAGCAGAAGAATATCTGTTTTTAAATATAATGCCGAATATAATTATGTCTTTATTATATGAAAGCTAACATCAGACTAAAAAATGTAAAAAATAATCATTGTTAACACATGTATGCTGATAAAAGAAACTTGAGCTGCCGGCTGGTGGGATTCTTAGAATTTCTGGGCACTTCGGCAGTTTCTGTGATATAATTCTCGTTGTGACCATAAAATTCTACACCAGGTATTGTACCAACATATTGTTAGATTTCTGGTGTATTGAAAAAATGAGGAAAATAACCCCCTTACAATTCCTCTTTTAGATCGAACATTTTAGGAAAAGCAGATAAGGGACCAGCAACAAAGTTTGAACTATCTATTTTTAATTTAATTTATGGAATTTCCAATAACATCAACTTCGACCGATTGTAGATGGTAAAGGGTTTAATGGTGTTCTCGACACAGTATTTAAGAATAAAATAGTATTTTGAGCACCACGATGTTGTTAGGTTATTAACCATTTACAGAAAGCATTATTATTTTTAAAGGCGTACTTGTTACCTTCAAAATCAAGTGCTATCACAAGGTTTAATATGTATATACCTGTATATTGCATGGCTTCATAATCAAAGAAAATGTATTTTTCGTTGTACATACAACGCTGTATTTTTTCGTAAGAAAGACCATTGCAGATGCATGGTTCTTTGCAAATAGGTGAATCTTGATTAGCTTTATTATAACGACACCCTCTATTGAGATCCCCACGGCCATTGCATTTACATGGTACATTACATAAGCCACCTTTAGCAGCTTTTTTGACCATGTAACAACCATGGGTGGCTGTTTCTACAAATTCGTTGCAGTTAAAGCACATCGAAAAACCACACTTATAAAACTTTTGTCGGCTAAGAAGTTTATTACACCCTGTACATTCGTAGACTTCAGAGTAAACTTTGTTGTGATTAGCCAAACATTCGTCATTTTAACAAAATCTGTTGCACTTGCCACGATAAGTTTTCTTTTTGGCTGTAAAATCATGCTGTGGCTGTTTATACAGGTTACAAATGGGCTGCTTCTTGCATTTCTGTTTGTTTTTATTATCGTAACCTGTATCACACCGCACAAACCTGTTAGACTATTTATCACATCAAAGTGGTTTTTATTTTTATATAAAGTTTAACAGTCTTTTCAGGACCGTCATAAATAAGACTATTAAAATTTTCGGCGCAAATAATCTTTATTTGTACGTCTAACAAATCCTTAGCCTTTTTAAAGTTCCTCAACGAAAAATAATTTTCGTATGATCCATCCAAAAGCCAACAACTTTTGATTTAGAATTGTTTGAATATCACGGCCCATTCTTAGTTGTTTAATATCACTTTGAGATAATTTCTTACCCAAAAGCTCATCGGTATGGAACGATAGGGCTATAACTATAGCACGAGGGCCACACAAATTGTCACTATTATTAATACGTGTAATACTACGTTTAATTAAACGGTTCTCTGTTTAATTGATGACTTTGGTATGACCCTTGCCACGGGGTATTTTAAATATCAAAAGATGTTCCGCGAATATCTACCTCTTGATTAGACGTGACGATGTTCTCGATATGTTCCAATATATTATCGACATTGATACTGTCACGAAGTCGTGTTTTTGTACCAGTTTCGTTTTTGAAAGAAAATACAAAATATTAAAAAATATATAATTTATTTAATCTCAACCGCACCTCGTTACTTTAACAATATTTTTAAAATATTTTGGTACACTTACCACATTTCTTAAGCTTGAGGCACGTTACATTCTTCCCCAAAAGGCACAATGAAAAACTTTTTAGTTTTTAAGAATTTTCAATTATATCAAATAAATAGCTCTTTTCGAGTCCACCTTTTTTGCTGTCGAGTTTACAACTAACTTCCTTGTTTAATTTACATACCTAATTTTTTTGAATATTGCCGATCTGCACAATTTTTCGTAGTTTAACCAAACTTAAATTACGTGGTTGATGACCTGACATTATTTTAATTAAGTGTCAGGAAGTGGTCGTTAGCCTAGGGGGTATTTTAGCTCAGGTTTTATCTGACGACGCCACAACGAGCTCTAGCTCGCCACGCTATATTCTGAGTAGCCCGGACTTTCCCAAAATTTGAATAAAGTCTGCTCAACCCAAAATACAACCTGGAGAGGGGTATTTATTTACTTTTATGTTACTTAATTACTGTTTGTAGGAATAAGAATTAAAATTACTAATTATAAAAAAAATATATATTTATTATTATACCAAATAGTTATTATTTACATACAAGTATACAAAAAATATAAATGAGAGATAAACTAAAAACCAAAAATGAAATAAAAGTTTACTTAACAAAATAACTAAAAAATTATTATTTCTTACCACATTAAATTTCTCTGTTGGGGCACGTTCACAAACTCTCAAACTACTTAATTATTAGTTTATTATTTAATTTTATTTAATACTTGAAATTTTTATTTTCTAATTAATAGTGGAGCTGAGCTCTTTACTGTTGCTCAGGCCTAACCTGAATGAATCTTTTTTGTTAGAACATTTACCTTCAAGACTCATCTGCTGATTTTGCATCTTTTTCCAGTTAATTCACCTATTTGATTTTTACACATAACAGATTGTTAAATCAGCAAAATGAATAGATTTTATTATTGTTTAACGTGAAAGGAAATATCTTATAAAGACTAAAAAAATATTTACATTAATTTGCTTGAGAATAAAAGTATTTTATTACGAAATTATTATATTACTGAAATTTGAAATAGAGGTAAATGTTCTATGTTAGGTGAATTTATTAAATAATCTGAATTTATAAAATTTGAAAAATATTTATTTGGAATTTATGACCCGCCCCCCGCATGATAAAGCCGATCCCTGGCTTTTAATAAAAAAAAAATTAAAATGCACACGAAAAATTAAAAATGCACAATTTTGCCATAAGAAAACTATTTCTAATGCATATCTGCTTAAACGTGAATATTATTGTAATAAACAATTAAAATTTCAAAATGTTTCTAAATTTTTATAGATTTAAAGCAATAAGTATACTTAGTTATTATTCATGAAAATATTTATTACTAGAAAAGAAAAAATGAATACTTATATAAATCTAAACAAAATATATATAAAAATTATGAATACTTATAATTTTACGTCATAAAAAAAATTGTGCCTTTATTTTTCATCTTCCACTCCAAAAGAACATTTCGCCATGTCGATTTCATCGGCCTGAAGAAGGCTACATCGAGTGGCTGGCTTACACCTGTGGAATTGGGTGGAAGTAATATGAATTTTATGTTGTTGTCCCTACAGGTTTCAATTACATTTACGCTTAAATGGCTGGCCAAATTATCGCCTATTAAAGCTTTATGCTTTCTTTAGGGAATTGCTGAAAATACCTCAATGCTACAGTGAATAGAGCCTCAGTGAACCAACCTGACTTGCTGCGATTATATCGTGCATGAGGCGGACCTCCAGTTGTCCAAGTTGAATATAAATTTTCGGCCTTGTACACTATGTAAATGGGTAAAAGTGTCCCTCATGCACTTCCAGAAAACATTACTGAGTGACTGCTTTTTGATGAATCGATTATGCGGTGTGCATGCTTCGATCCTCGTCTTACTATTACCTTGCTTTTTCCTGGATCGTCCGCAAGATTAGTTTCATCGTAGTTCACGATACAACTAGGATCGATTCCGTCAAGACTAATTTCCAGTTCGTCGAAATAAGCATTAATCATCTCCGGACTTATGGCAGCTCTCGAGCGTTTGATATTTTCGCACCAACGTACGCTCAAAATTTGATGGTGCCTCAATAAAAATCCCCGCATCCAGTCTTTTCCGGGCCAATTTTCATTTTTTAATTTTTGGACTCCCTTCCTATCTAAATACGATTTGACCAAAGATTTTACATCATTTGCTGTAAGTGAAAAGCCCCACTGACAAGCCAGATCTATATTATTGACAAGTCGGTGTTCTTCTTCAGCTGATAAAATAGTCTGGCCTCCAAAATTCTTTCTATGCAGATTTTTCACTTTTCTTCGAATCGTAGAATAGGGAATCTTATATTTTTCGGATAAATATCTGTAGGATCTACCACGAAGCCTCCTTTCCTCTACAGCTACATCAAGTTTCTCGGGATCAAAGTCGGCATAATGTCGGCTGCCCAGTCTTCTATATCTTCCCATTTTTAATCTAAAAAACAAAAAAACAACAAATTGATAAAACCATTCTTAAAAAAATCCTAGGGGGTGACTTGAAACAACGTGTTTCAACTCACCCGCAACAGTGCAGCTTTTTAGTTTTTTTTTTGCGATTATTTTTGATCAATAAGTCAAAATAAAAATTAAAGTAATGAAAAACCTACAGAAAACTATGAACTTACTATAGTGTGAAAATATTCAACATACCTTTAATAGAAACAGAGATCCTAGTAAAGTTTTGCAGGTAATATTTATTT